CTAACCCTTTTCCACCCAGATACTTACCCTACAATATTCCGATGTCTCAATGTCTTCAACAGTTCTACTTCCTCTTGTAGCTTCTCATACTGCTGCCTGGATTTATGTTTGTTGTCCTTGTCACTCAGTTCCACCTGTTTGACAGCTATCAGTTGGCCCGTGTTTGTTAGACCACAGTACACCTGTTCAGATAACAATTATTTGGAATGAAGAGTCTTGAAACTTGCAAAAGTTGCAGATGCTTCTTTGAACACACACATTGTGACTACGCGGAACAAGCTCCGGATGTTGAATACTATCTTTGCATTGGGTTTCAACTTTCAACCACATTCATTGGCTACATTTGTGACTAATCCAATTCTCCTGGTATGTTACAGAGCATAATAAATTTATTTACTTGAATTTTTCTCAATGACGTAACATGATTTCGGTAGGAGCCAAAATGAAATACAAATGATGCCAATCAAGCGTTAATTTAAAACTTACCACTCCAAATGCTCCCCTGCCAAGTACATTGCCCTTCTTCCAATGGAGCAACCCTCCCTCTGATTCTGAGAAGTTGGTACTTGAGCTGTGACTCCGTTCACTACTCAGCCCACTCGATTGAGTGTTTTGCAACTGTAAAGAAAACAACTGAACTCTTTAGAGATATGACACAGCGACTTCAAAATTGTAAAAAACTTGACATGGTATGCGGCGTCATTAGATTTTCAGACTTACATGTAAAGGAAGATGTACATGCCAGCAACAATTAGCACTCTAGAAATTAGGAGCACTCTAGAAATAGGGACCCTAGAAATGAGCACTCTAGAAATAGGGACCCTAGAAATGAGCACTCTAGAAATAGGGACTCTAGAAATGAGCACTCTAAAAATAGGGACTCTAGAATGAGCTTTCTAGAAATTAGCACTCTTTAGATGAGGTGTAAGGACGTACCTCACTACTCATTGCAGAGAATGTCCTTGTTGTAATGTCACTTGCTTCTGATGCAGCAAGGCTTTGGTTTAGCCAATCAGCAGCCTCGGGTTCAAATCCAACAGACTCCGTATCAAGCTCTCTGGACGCTGGACGAAGCGTTGGTGAGGGAAAGTCAAAATGAATATCACCGGTCTGAGAGAGGACAGTGTTCAACTCTTGCATGGCATTCATGGACATGTGCTGCACATGCTCAGTTAGGATCTGCTCTTTGTCGTCAATTACTGCATCATCTTCATCTTCATCATCGTTGCCATCGTCGTTCCTGGCATCATCATTAAGGAAGACTTCCGAACCCTCAGAGTAGTTACGGGTACTTGACTTACGTTGAGACGGCAAGACAGCTGAAAGTTCCAAGTTAGATGCATCCTCCAAACTCCTCTTTCCGTTTCTCCTGCAAAAACACAAGGGATCAAAAAGAGTAAATGAAGTGGTTTCAGAAATTTTTTCCTGTCACAGGAAGAAGGCTAATTTATGGATGGCAGAACAAATTGAAAAATTATTTTAGGAATGACTTGTATATTCAAAATTTACTCTAAATATCAAAATACACTACCAAATGCCAATATAAACGGGAAGGATTTATTTGTTTTATTAAGCTAACTTTTTTTGTCGCTACAGCTCTACAGGAACTAATCTCTCAACGATGAATGAACCTACCCGTGTTGCTCCTGACTAACAACCTCAGGCACTGAATTCCCTCTCCTACGAGTTGGTGACTCTTTTGATGATGATGGTGGACTGAAGTTTTTATCAGGAAGTCGACTCTTCAGGGGAGAAACCATGTCCTCTACTTGGCTGTGTTCTCTCCAATGTGACCTGATCTTCGACTCTCCATCCTCCACAAATTGTGAGTTTGGATTTTCAGCCTCCTCCTCCCACGAGTTCTTGATAGGTATCATATTTCTGACATCTTCAGCCTTCTCCAGTGCCTCTTGTTTGTCTTTAGACACCTTTGCAGGAGGTTCACTGTGTCTTCTCTTGACACTGCCACGGGGGACACGAGTCAGTTCTGAGATGTTGACATGGATGTTGGATGGTAAAGGAGGTTTGTGAGAGATTCTTTCTTTAATGGTATCACGTTTCTCACTCTGTTCTGTTGAAGTCTCTGGAGGTACACTTTGATCATTATCCATCTTGGATATTTCCTTGGCAAGCTCTGCTCTGAACATGGTGCTCCTTGGGGAAACATTAGCTGATGGATTATCCTGTAATCTTAACACTCTGAGGAAGTCTGGGTTGGTTTCATATGAGGACACCTCCTCACTCTCTACATCAAATGTGTTTCTTTCTGTTGGGTTGCTTGATGACCCTGAAGTGGTAATTCTTGGTGCAATTGTCTCATCTCCACCATCAACCGTGGCATGATGATTTTTGGTTCTATCTGATTCATCTAAATTTGCATCACACTTTGAGTCCTTTGAATCATGCCCTGAGAGTGGTTTCAGATTAATAGATAATTGATTAGCAGGTGTATGATTAACTTCTGTCTTGGTATTCTCTTTAGTCTGTGGTGGTTTCTCTGGATGACTACTTGCTTCTTTTGTAAGTTTTTCAACACTCTCTGTCTCGAATGTGAATGCCTTTTCTGTGCTGTTTGGTCGATTTTGCATATCAGTCTCTGCTGAACTACTACTTTTGAGAGAGTCTCCAAACTCTTTAATGGTTCCCATCGTGTCAGGAATGAAGTGTGGTGTGTCAACCTCCAGTGGACTCATAATATTGGCAATGTTGCTAATGACTGCTGGGCTAAGCGGATGAATCTTACACAGTTCATTCAAGATGAGAGTATTATGTGGGCTGAGTTTAGGACTTCCATCATGACCCAACGGAGCATCACCGGAATGTACTGAGGAGTCACAAGAGCTGTCGAGAGCTGACCGATCATGGATGATGACATCTGATGTCTCATTCTTCTCTGTCTGAATGTGCCATCCCTGACCAGTAATGAAAGCTTTGGTAGAGGAGTCAACCTCACTTAGCAGGTGTAGCTTGTCTAGTTTGAGATTCTTACCCTTGGTTTTCATGAGTGGTCTCAATTTTCCTTTCTTCTGTGAGCTGATAGCATCAGGTTCTTGTTTCTTTTTCCCCTTCTGGCGTGATTTGCCTCCACTTCCAGGTCTGCCTGCCTTTCCTTTCTGTGCATTTTGACCCATGATGGCTATCTTTCGGAGACTTCCTTTCACAGAGGATTTTCTTGGTAGTTCCTTGGTGCTTGCAATCCGTCGCCTTGTCTTGACAAGAGAACTAGGCTTAATAGGATTTGGACAGCTGCTTGTTGATGAGATCTTCTCTCTAGGTTTCCACGGTATCGGTGTTGGCCCAGGTTGCAGTGGTCCCATTTGCATAAGTTCTATGACATCACGGATGACAGGGGTGTGTTCTTTGATGATCCGCGGGTCATGTGGGGCATCTACGGATGAATCGCTTCGTGGGGACACTTCTGGTGACTTAAATTTAGACCAGTGGAATTTAGAAAGACTGGTGCTAGGAAATTTTGGACTTACAGGGTTGGGAATTTTCTTTGTCTTTCCAGAGAGATCTTTTTCTTCAGTTCTGTCATGAACGGTTCCTCTACTCTGTGGGGTTAATGGAGGTTTTTGGGTTTGAAGCTTAATATCAGACATAGATTTCCCAACGGCAGTGAGAGCAGACTTGGTTGCACCTCCAATTTTGTTTTCAGAGTCGCTCTTTGGCTGAGATTTCACAGCTGGGATGATTCGTCCTGCTGTCTTCCTAGCAACCTTTTTCTGCTTCAGTATCTTTGTCTCTTTAAACATATCCACTTCTTTAATATTAATCTTGACGGTGTCTTGAGATGGTTCTGTTTCAACCTTAAAGAGTTTCCGTTCTTTTTCTTCATCAGAGACAAAGACAACCTCTTCATAAACTTCTTCGATACTTTCTACTGAATCCGATTTGCTTCCACCTGTCTTGGGTCTTATACCATCTTTGTCTTTTTTCTCTATGCCGTTTTGTCCCTTCATCAATGTCTGACTACTTGGAAACATTTCGATGACTGGAGATTTTTTTCCTCCAACATTATGAGAATCATCATGTTTGTTTTTCTCAGCCTCTGCCTCTTGAGAATGAAATTTAGTTTTCTGAAAGGGTACTGTCTGTTTCTCATCACTTGAATGGACTTTATCCTTGTCAGTCGGTTCTTCCAACTCCAAACCAACACCTTCATCAGATGAAAGAGGCTGTCTTGTATTTGTGTCAGTGCCTTCTTGAACTTTCAACATATTTCTCAATTCTGTCTTTACCTGAGAAGAGCCTGAACCAAAGCTTTTTGAGAGTGATGGTTCTCCCTTAGAGGTCTGAAGTCTTGGTGATGCTTTTTCTAATGATCCTGCTGGTGATTTTGAGCCCTGACAGTATCCAGGTCTTGGACTAACCTTTGGCATTTCACCAGAGCTAGAGACAGGCAGCGTTTTGTTGATTGTTTGATCAACATTTTGAGCTGATATCTTCTGAGGGGATAATGATTTACCCTGTTTGTTTGCCTGTCTTGGTGGTTTGCTTATCTGATCTGTCCCTGCTTGCGATTTGCCGACACTCTTACTTTTAAAGTTGGTGGCTGTCTTGACATTACTAGCTTTCTGTTCCGTCTTTTGGGTACCAGGGTCAGATGTAACGTTAGCACTTTTCTTGCTTGACCTTTGACCATTTAACCTTCCAAAGAGCAATTCTGTTTCTGCAGTTTTGCACTGGGTGACTGCAGTATTTGTGACATCATCACTACTGGCCATGAATTGACCGTCGGCCTTGTTGACAGCTGTTTCATGAACATTCTGTCCTCCTGCAGCTGTTGTTCTCGAAGAACAGTGACCGTAATCTGAACTGGATGCTGGCTTTGTATTAACAAACAGAATGGAGTTGGACCCCTTTCTGTTTGCACTCAAACTCTGTACTTCATTTCCTGTGGGTTTTGAAGTACTTTTGGTTTGTTTCCCGGGTTGATCTTTTTTGGATTGAGAACCAAATGCTGTTTTATGTTTCTTTCCATCACCAACTGGTTGTTTGGAATTATTTAAAGAAGATGAAACTGCTGTCTGATGAGACGACTGTGCCTTGTCACTAGTCACTGTAGACTTGCTTTTTGTATCTGCTTGTCCAGCGGAGGCTACACTTCCTGACTTTGCTTCTATCTCTGCTTCTTGTACACTACTCATACTGCTGTGGACAGTTGCACTCAAGTTGGGAGAGAATTTGGAGTTTATCTTTCCATCTTTGTTTGCAAAGTTTGTACCACAGGATTTTGATGACCACTTCTCTGGACCTTTTGTTTGTGACTGTTGTTTCTTTGCCACAGATGCAGGAACTGTGTCCGAGTTTTCCACCACTAATGTTTTGGCCGAATGAAGTGGTATCTCTGTCGAAGCCTTTGTGTCTATTTGCTTTGTCACTGCAGAGTTCACATTACAAGGACGTTTGGTGACTGGGTTTGCAGTCCTTGTTTTGACAGGAGATTCTTTGACATTTGTTGCATTTGGTGTCATTTTAACGCCAAGACGATTGGTGACAAGACTTTTAACCAAAGGCATCTCCTTATCAGCTCTAGGCTGGAGAGGACTTGGGGTTGAGAGGGTACTAGCTGAAGAGGAGACACTGTAAGACGTTCTGGACCCCTGACCTGAGTCTGTAGAAACGTCTTTGCTTGGGTCCATGACGCGGGTATTTTCGATGCTAAAGGGTTTGGAATGATTAAGAATTGACTTGGATCTCATCAATGTCAAATGTTCATTGTTCGATTTACTCTCTCCTTTCCATTCCAAGTTTGGAGAATTGCTGAACAGAACCTGTGAATGTCCATCTTCAGCTCCTTCATCTTCATTGTCAAACTCGAAAATGGTTGCCTGGATATTCTCGGAGTAGTGTGAAGGCGAGAGAGGCATGACATTGCGTGACGTTGGATTAAAGAGCTGCGTTGGGTCCAATGAAGGACTTGGCGTGCCCAGACGAAGATGCATTTGTTCTGAATAATAAAAAGACACAGAGCAACTTTCTGTAAACTTGTCATTTTGAAGCCTTGTGGTCCAACAAAGAAGCACTAAATTGAGTTATCAATAATGGTTATGACAATGTTACTGCAGTACCATCACACTTAATATTTATGTTATACATATGTATGTTATGCATATGTTGTAAGTGCTCTTCCACAAGACGCAGGCAGATTGAAGTGTCTGTGCATTCAAACAAGCTGTCAAAACAAAATGAAAGCTGTAGCCACAACACACTTGATTTGAAAAAAAAAAGATCCCAAACCCTAGCTATAAACTGTCTAATCTAGGCACGATGCAGAACGTGAGCTGCAGGCAAAGAAAACTTGAATCCAGTCTCACCTAAATTAAGATGATGTATCTGCATACATGTATTGGCTCGGAGAGGAACTCTCCTTGGAGGCTGGGTACTAGACTCATCATCCAAGCTTATTGTGCTGCTCGAGCTTCCAACTGATCTGTGATATTTCACTCCTGAAAGCCAAGGAAGAGATCACAGATTACTGTAATCTTGAGACCCACGTTGCATCAAATGCCATGTTACAGTGTATCTCATATCTAATGACTATTGGCCCAATCATTCACGTCAGATCACGCCATGTCAAATCAAGTTACGTACTGCATGCCATACAGTATTCAACTGTACCAATGCAACTCACACTGTATACCCTACAACATCATCAATGTAAGTTATCACATGGGGTCAAATGGTACGTCAATTCAAAAGCAAGGAAGCCATACTATTTCTAGCAATGTCACATCTAGTAACAATGATAAGCTGTGTATTGCTAGAAGCAAGTTTATTTACCTTTCTTAATAAGATCCACACAAGCACCTGTGAGATCTTGCAAGCTAGGAGTTGAGCCCCTGCTTCCAGCAGAAGGTCGCCTCTCTGTGGGTGGTGTTGGATTAACACCATCTCCTTTGTCATGACTACGACGTCGTTCAAGATAGGGACTTATTGGCCCAGAAACTAACCTTCGAAACCTGACAAGAATATAGAATTGTAACAATCAGATTAAGAAGTTGCGACAGAGGTTTTTAACGTGACATAACACGACAGGCAAATGCATTATAGGAGGATATAGTGTACCATGTCTGTGGAAGGGCGCATGCATGTTGGATTCCGTGTATTTCTATTGGTAAGTTCATTTATTCCAGACTGTTAAGAGACTTCCAAGGCATGAATGTTTTTGCACACATCTGAGTAAACTGAACACTGACCGTCAAAAAATTTGATTGAATTTTTTGGCCAAATTATGTTATGGTTAATGTATTCTTATTTTTTAAAGTTGATTGAAGCTGAAGTGATAAAACTGGAAAAACCTGTCATGAGAATACTTTCATAAATAGGAATTTATTATGTAGGAGCACTTAGGTTACATTGGAGTCTAGCCCAGCACAGCTTGGAATATCTGCCAAGCCCCCTTGTATTCACACTGTCTTTGTGCAGGCTGTTTCCAAAATACTAGATCAGGCTCATGTCAAGATTAAAAGACACAACTTTTTGTTTCAAAAAATGATATCAGAATCCGTCAATCAGAGATCTATTCATGTTTACCAGTAGAATGAATGCAATACTGCAGACTTGTTTCTCATTCCTACCTGATATCTCTCAGGTTGTCATCTAAGTCAAGCCCAACCACCGTCACTGGAACCTGAGGCATGTCTGTTGTTACCTTGGAAACAACAGGATCAGCTGCACAAAATTCAGAAATCATATTTTTGTTAGCGAAGAATTTGTTCAGTATTAAGTCACAAGTATTTTTTCTAAGTTTTAATAATGACTGTTTGATGGTGTGAGCGTAAAGTCCCTGGTGCACCAGTGACAGTTACTGAACACAAGCTCTTCTCAGGTCAAATGTGAATGGAATGAAAACACTGCCCTCTATGAGTGCTGCTAGGTAAAAGACCAATGACCACGCCTCAGTTACTTGGCTGCGCTTTGAAATTACACAGGAGTCCAAGGATATGGTTGTAGCCACTTCCCATAGATTCTGTAATGTCAAGCCATAGCCAGGTCATTCAGACATGATCTGTGACTTACAATTTCTCTGATTAACTTTGGCATGTGCCCTGGCCCTCTGGTTCCTAATGTCGATGGTGCTTTCTCCGCTTGGTACAGTAAGGGTGCGAGTTCGACCACCTAGCAGGGGTCTGACCAAACAAGAAGTGTGACATGTTAGAAGAATGGAAAACTAAGTAGATTTCATTTGTAAAAATAAACCCAAAACTACTGGCCATTTGCTGATGTTTGCTCTAACAAATATTTTCAGAATTTTTTATAGCTTCAAAAAATTAGGCCCTGGTGTCCTGCACTTGAGAAAAACATGCAAGACTGAATGAATTCGGTGCTTATGATCAATAACATCCTTCTCTTACATCTTCACTTTTCTGTCTGGCTTTAGAATGAACCTATGGAGTGCTTCATGTTACAAAATACAAAATGGCAGCAAATTTAAAATGATTACCTGGTCTTCTTGTTCTTCTCTGGAGACCCAGCAGGTGATGAGGAATTAAATCCATGGTCCAAGACTCTGGGAGTCTTGGGAGGAATTGGTAACTTGCCTGATGATGTACTGTTTCTTGAAGAGGCTCTTGGAAGACCAAGCTTACGAGGACACGAACTGAGCACAAACAAACATCCAAATGTCATTAAAACTCACTTCAATCTCCTCGATGGAGAAATGTTGAGCAGACAATGCATGAGAGACAAGTAGGAAGATAGTGCTGAGGTTCAAATGTCAACCTGATACAGATAAAGTACGCTGTACAACAAGACTGACTTGAAATCACCAACAGGTGCACTTCTAAGAATGTGATTGGTTAATGTAAGAAAAGGAGACTCCAGCATGCGCTTGTTTTCAAATATGGCATAAGACATGTAGCGGCAAATTTGTAGAATGTTCTCAGGCACCGAGCAAACAGCAGCAATGTGACTGATTGATACCAAGGTCTCTAATTGTTAACAGTGAAAGAACTTCTGTGCGGAGCAATTAAATCTCAGACAGATAACCCACCTTGGAGTGAAACGACCACTTTCAATATCTCGGAGCATTTGTTCCTCTGCTAGCATTGCTTTGTGTGCCTCCGTCATCTTATGAATGATACGCTCTGTCGCAGAAAAACCCCAAAGCAAAACCTTGTTAACTATTGTCAATTAATACATTATTGCATGGACATTTTGCTATAAAAATGTTACTGGATAAGTCTGTCCCCAACACTGGTCACATGGGAAGAAGACACGAGAGATCGCTTGGTTGCAAGAAAGCTGCTTTTGTTTCATGGAAAATTTGAACCACAATCAACTTTGGCAAGGAGTAGCCACAACAATCCTCATTGGCTACATCTCATCACCATGGTTTGCTAATGGCAAAACTCTGTAAGCTGTAGCCACAAACTGCCTGAATGCATACCGGAGGTACTTACTTTCAGGTGTGAAGTTACATGATGATCCAGGCCTTGGAGTACTTCCAATAGATTCTTGCATCAATCGCTCCTCTGCCATTAACCCGTGATGCTCAGCCACACGGGATGGAGGTTTGACTGGTGTTAATACCAAGTCTCGTTTTGCTTGAGTAGCCTCTGTCCATGCTTCTGTTTATACAAACAGAACATCGTTTGTTGCTTGAACTCAAAACAATGAGAAGAGACTTATTTTCTTATGCACTAAGAAAATAATCTTTGATGTTGGAAGACATTGATCAAATCACTTTCAGTTTTCTTTCAATCTCACCTTTTAGAGCATGTTTCAGCTTCTTGGTCTTAGCCACATCAACCGGAGTATTTCCGCTGTCATCAACTAGTGTCACGTCCGCACCATGATTCAACAACTTTGTAGCTGCTTGTAACTGACCAGCACAGGCCTGAAATAATGATCGGAGCTGTTGGTCAGATTTAAATTTCTCTATACAGCCTAAAAGATTGCTGTCGATGGGATAAAGCAAAATGCATTTCACAGGAAAAACATTCAGGGTTCTGAACAAATCAACTCTAAAGTGGGAATATTTAATATACTGAGACATGGATAAGAGCCATTTCTCCAACCTTATTATTATATCTTACTTCTAGCTCCTGCTTCTAAAATCCTGACGCTTCACTAGCAGGATCATCCATTCTGATTACGTCAAGCTACAGTTGGGGGGGGTCAGACCATACTTAATTTGGAACATGAAAGGACTATAACCATTTCTGAAACCAGAGATGAAATAAGAGCTGGAAGGCAGCCAGTGTTTCAGAGATGGTTTTGTGAGTGTAATATTGCTAATATTGCTTGGTTACAGCCGGGGCTGTCACGCGAGTCTATGGGAAATTCCGACACCAGAAATTGGCAGCTTTTGTTGGAAACGTGTAGGTTTTCACTGTAGCCAAGTTCCTCAGATGTACCCTACAACTCACCGATATATGAAGGGGCGTGGCTCCTGCAAATCCCCTTGCATTGACATCAGCTCCACTGTCCAACAAAGCTACAAGTACCTCTACTTGACCACTCTGTGATGCTGAATGGATCGGTGCTAATGACCTCCGATCTCTCATCTCTAAGATGGATGGATCACTCATCAGAACCAAAGCAATCTCCTCGGATACCTTGGCTTTTGATGCAGCAGCAAAGTGTAGCGGTGTTCTTCCTTCAGCGTCATGAGTAGTCACGTCAGCTCGATGAGCCAACAGCTCACGTACTACAGCCTGTGGGTTGTAATCCTCAAGGGCAGCACCGACTATACAAACAAAGAAGAAAATTAATCAGGAAAGAAGTCTACAAAGCATCTAGAGTTCTCTTCAATTCACAACGCGGAATGCTTTTGGTAGAAACAAGCGGTGTTCCTCATCAGACCAACTGTGCTTTTTTTATGATTTCTATCAAATCAAATTCCCCTTTGTAATTTTTAAACAAAGAGCTGGGTATTAAGTTTCTTCTGTTAATTTGAGGGCTACTGGTCACCAACATGAGATGCTTGAAGTCCTAAACTCTACTTACTCTGCTCAAAAAGATCTACATCCCTGGTAACCAACAGCAACGGTGTGTATCCATCAGCATTACGACAGTTGATGTCCAGCACTTTACTCTCATTCTAAAAGCAGACACAGAAATTACAAAACTAAACAAAGCTGCTACCGAAGTCCAGAAAGTCCTTTGAATGATACAATCTACCATCTCTTAAATTGTGCAGATATAAAAATCTCCGAGCAACGTGTACAACAATGGAACGGTAATTTGGAATTGTGAAGCTAACGATACTCCAGCAATGCCATAATTACATGAATTATGCACTGCTTGAAAAGACTAACACAAGACTAAAAAAACAATACGTTCAAAACTACACAATTGATGAAAATATAATGAAACAAGCTCTAACAAATGAAAAGACAATTAGGAATAGCATTTAGCAACCAATCTAAGAGTTGTTCAGGAAATCCTATAATGAAACCCTAAGATCTTTGTATTCATTGATGTTAGTAAACTGTAATGTTCATTGGTACTTACTAATAATCGTTGGACTACATCAATGTTCCCCTGCCATGCCGCTTGCAATAGATGCCTTGGAGAACACCCAGTCCTCTCAACTGACTGCAGCAATGCTGTACGAATACCTGGCTTAGCAACCTCCATCGCCGTTTCGTTGTCATAGTTACGGATGGTGATGTCAGCACCATATTTCAGGAGAAGTTGAACAATCTTCAGGTGTCCGTTCTTGGCAGCCCATATGATTGGAGTGTTACCTGTTCGTTTTTCCTTCACATCGATATTCACAATCTATGAAATCAAGAAAATAAATTGACAAGAGTATGAATATGACCAGCCAAATAGCCACACACGCCAAGGTGCAGCAGCAGGTTGAAAAGCATTAGTAGAGAAGGAACATTTCTGCAAGTTAATAAGCAGAACTTGATCTCTCGTTTTTTACATTAAGGCAAGTTTATCCCACTGTTTGCAGCAATTATTTACAGGAGATAGTCTAGGCTAAAATTCACATACATGTGCCTAATTGAAACAGCACCACAAAATGAGCAAAAATTCTTTTTTCGGAAGACACGTATTTGGAAGCAGAGCAATTGGGGGAGGCCTAAAATAAAAACGGCAGTATTGACTGACCTCACTGCTTCTCCTGCGAAGGAAATTCTCAACTCGTTCCAAGTCTCCATCTCGAGCAGCAGCCAGGAAAAGATTCTCAACATCTTGGGCATGGCCGGGATTGAAGATTTGCATAGCAAAGTCGTGGTATGTCTTGAGAAGGGTGCGGTTACGATAGGAGTTGGTAGAGCTTGCACTGCTCACGGTACTTCCAGAGGAGTCACTGTTTGCTGAGGATGGACGGTCAGACTGTGGGGCTGAAGATAGCGCCCTCACATGGGCTGAATAAGAAAAGATGAAAGCCATTAAAGCCAAACTCTTATTGTTGAGTTGTGTGATTCTGAGAACTTGTTTGTTCAACATTATGACAATTAGCTCTGTCTCATGTTTGGAGACTAAAAGCTACAACAAAATACAACAGATTGGAGGGGGTTCAGGGCTTACATGATTAGAGACAGGGTTGAAAGCTGAAAAAAGCCTTGAGCTAGAGACGAACCTGGCCTTGGGCCTTGCCTAGGGCTATGCCTCAGTAAGTCAGCAGACATGACGAATGGTGCCCTCGCTGGTCAGTTCAGGAAAGACTTGGACAGCCACGGACAATGGACGGATGATGGTAGCCATGATGGGACTAGGGCAGAGAATTCTGCATACGTTAACTGGAAGACCTGGTGGTACCAATACATAGACAAAGAAACATTGCATTAAGAAACCATTTGTACTGTTACCAAACACAGTTCAGCTCTCATTTAAGTCTGTTTTAATCTGCAATTTTCACTTACTTACAGAGAGGACCATGACCCACTTTTCTACGCAAAAATTTGTCAGAGCATGTCCTATAGTAGGTGAAGTTTAATATTTTTTTTCTCCAGAAGCAAACGTTCAACAAAACTACACACTACATCATACATCAACTGTTCATAAACCTGGAAACGCAAATTTAAAAACAAAAGCAAAACAACTTACATGTACACGTACTGAAACTCCCATCCCCCCAAAACAAACTCAACACTTAATTGAAAGAAGTGTAACCAAAAATACAGGACTTGGGCTAACAAAAAAACAAAGATAAATTCTGAAAAGTGCTTTTTCCAACATGTACTGTACATGTACGTGTACATGAGCGGTACAGTACTACTGGTATGTAGTTTATAAAGATACCTGTACATGTACATGTAAGTGAGATCAGTCCAGTTATGGAGACAAACAGCAAACATGTTTAACCCTAACAGTCCTAAATCCTCTGATTTCAGTGTGATTTTACATGTGCCCTGGGGGTTAGGGTTAGAACAGTACCAGTATCTGTACAGTAGGTGTAAGCCTACGGACCTGTGAATATTTGCTTTCCAATAATGTGGTTGCAATGTGTGCCTTGTTCCAAAGCCTGAAACTGCACAATCATCCTCAAATGGAATCATTGATCCCATTGACCGTGTTGACCATACAACAGCTGTCAATTCTCTCAGCATTCTCATCTCATCTCTAGCTACCGGTACATCTCCATGATTCCCTTCAACCATGAACCTGTACACGCATCCGTGTTTCATTCTTCCAGTTCCAGTTCCAATTCTGTAAAACTTGGCACATGGACGGTACAAATGTACATAAATTAAACGTGTGTGGAACAATGCAGTGTATTGTACCATACCGTTATGTGTACCAAGCACATACAACATACTGTACATGTACACAACTCAATATGTTCACAACACCCCCACTGGTACCAAACATGTACATGTACCTGCCTATAAGCCTCGAGTTGCGTGCCAAATAGAATGTACATGTACATGTGTACATTTAAGTGACCTTACCATGGAGTATTATTCAGGGCATCGGAATTTATTATGCATGCAATTTAGCGAGTGCTGATTGGTTCCCTTGGAAAGCCGAGGGAAAAATAAAGAACAATGATTTATTCCACCTCTCTCAACCTTCTGATGTCATCTCTACGTGTACATTATTCCCTCAAGCTCATGCATGAGTCATGCCTTTATTTCCCACACCTCTTATCTGACCCCCCCCACTTCCACCATCAATAATTTCCTCATCCTTTGTTCTCAGCGCGCTCTCCCCGCATCATTGCCTTTATGATCAAGGATGCAGAAATTGCAGGAGAAGACTGCATGAGTGTACTCGGAAAAGAGTCACGTGGCTTGCACTGTACATACATATACATGTACATTAGGTACTCTCTGATATTAATGAGATTGGTGGTGATAGTGTCTTTGGGTCTGAAGCCAGGCTTTGTCATGGTAATCAGGGTTGGTACCCTGAGGATGCTACAGTAACAGTCGGCTGCTATTGCACTTTAAAGTATTGATACACAATGTATACACACAGTCCCGTCATGTACCAGTAATTGCTGAATGATTGGTTCTGCATGTACATGTATGTGTATGTACATGTATGTGTATGTACATGTAAGATGTGGCAGACAATGTACATGTACACAAACAGTGGGAATTATCACGGTAGGAAAGATGGAAAATATTTAGAACTCTGCATGTATGTAGTATATGTATATTGTACATGTATGTGCACACGGACATGTATGTCTACATTGTATCATTGGTACCGGTAGTTTTTGGACTGAAAACAAAATTGATCCAAACCCTGAGGCTTTTTTGCTTCTATTCTGAACAAATAAGCAGCGAAGTCAAAAGCTAACAAGCCACTTTATGTGTACTAAACATGTCAGCATCATGCATTTTATATGTACATGTATGTTAACAGCTCACAATCTACACTTTGCACATGCGCTGGTGCAACCGTGGTACCGATACAAGAAGAACATTAATTTTAAACATTTTTTGATATGGTACATAAAATACAAATAACCTACCAGTACTTGTCACTTCCAAGTTTTCGTCTCCTCTTTTTATGCCCAGTTCAGTTCCTGGTGTAAAGTTGATATTTTGCACACAGTATCACATGACATCAGCCAACACAAAGCAACAATGCATGCACTGCCAGTATGGCCAGACATTTAAATACATCTATTGATCACTGTTCCATGCGATACACTGCCTCATGTACTGATCAGCAACGGTAGATATGCATGTGCATGCTCGTGGTGCAAGAGCATTGGAAATTACGCGCCATTTGGCAGGGAATGGTCGTTAGCAAACCAGACAGACAAGCATTAATTATGCGACAAGATTGGACTACTCCACTAGATTTTGTGGGTGTGTCCGATATGTGGAGTATATTGTATCGACAGAACAAATGAACTTTCCAGAAATACATGTAATGCTGCCAAATATTGTACATGTACATTGTACGAAGTATGGGTGTAAACCGGTACATGTTCAGTGTATAAATATTGGAGGAAATTTACTTGTACATAAACGGTGTATTCATGTAAATATTCAAAATAAATTACACATCTGTCCAAAATTGACTTGTACGTAAGTACCAGTACAGTACTGTACATGTACAGTTGTACATGTTATTAAAAATACATTATCTAATTACAACCATTGAGCATAGAACTGTTTATTTCTTCCTCCATGATGCAACAGAGCACGTACTGTACATGTACATGTACGTGCACTGTGCCCTGTTTGCACATTAAGTACATACATCGTACATGTACATGTACATCAATTTTTCCTGTAAACTACATGTACACGTACATGCATTGTATTCATTCAACTTTCTGTGCCAACCAGTACTAATGACATCATTAATTAATATGTTGTCATTGTACCGTACACTTGCAGTCAAATTTTAAGTGTAATGGACAGATGCCACACTGTCAATTAATCTCATTTCAAATTCGCAAAATAGACAAAACAGGCTGGGTGACCAGGATGGAACTTTCATGCACAAAGACAACTGCCCACAGCAATTACCCTGGAAGGAATGTTCCATTAGTGCTACAGGGGTGGGTGTGACAAAGAAACTTACAACATAATAAGTAGGAATAAGTACCAGTAGCATTTCTGTCCATCAAAAGTTTGACTTGAAGAGTAAAGTCCATGAAATTGAATCCACCTATGTACATGTACATGTACCAGAAATGTGTGCAGGTTCTGAGCTTAGCCAGACACTTATTTCTGGCCATATGTCAAGGACAAACTGCAGACAAAAGCAAGAGAGGTGAATGGAAGCAGAACCCACACAAACAGTTTGGTTTGGATCTGATGCATGAGTGATTGCATTCACTGCCAACTCCCAAATGTTTGTGCTTAGGTTATAAGCTCTGTGCTGGATGCATACAGGCATACAGGCAGTGCCTTCTAGTGGTACTTGTGTTACGGTAGACTGTTGTATGCAAAATTAAACCACATCAATCTTACATGTACATGCCGGTAGTGTCGTCAAAAGAATTAGTAGTAATAGTGCGCTCATTTGAAATTTCTTAATTTTGTGCAAACCAGTGCAACAACATACGGCACCTTGAGTTACATGCACCAGTACACACCTCCAGGCACCACTTTCTTACATGTAAAACCCTCTAGAGGGTGTATGTAAAAATCACATTGAAATCAAAGGATTTGGGACTGTTAGGGAATGCTTAATATTGGCAACAATCCAGCTGAGCAACATTGGCCAGAAAAGTAAGCACTAAATCTCGCAAGCAGGTACATGTACTTACATGTATGTACAAATGATTGTGTGAAGCAAAAAATGTGCAGAACACTAGTGAGAACGTTAGTCTCCTCATGTACCATAAAATAACCATGGGTGTGAGCCCCAAATATTCAGGATCAAATCATTTCAATTTCATTAAAGTCTCATACACTGTAATTCTACTACAAAATTGTACATGTACACAATACATACAATGTACCTTGGCTAACATTGAAACACAAAACACAGCAAAAATTTCACGTTTGTCTACATAGTACAAGTACACATGTGTACATCTACTATAGTGTAGCGGTATGTACCCAAGCATGTTAACTGAATGTACTGATAAACATGGCTGGCTGTCTATACCGATTTTAAATTATAAATCTATCATACCACTTTGGTTTGTTTGAATACGTTCCAAAAATGAAGGGGCAGGAAATGTCAATAAACCAAGGATGATTTCATTCAGTGAACACTGAATACACTCTGTTTTGTAGCACCTGCTAAATGCTTAACAGTTATACAAACAAAAATGACTTAAGCACTTACCACATCACTGCAGCATAAAGATAGATCTGCAAAGATGTTATTGTACAATCCTATTAATTACCAGTGAGTCCACTGAAAGTCCCTCACTAATGCATGAATCTATGACATACTGCTCCTTATATTAATCACAAGCTACTGGTATTGGTAACTCATGTACCGTAGTCCTCTCCTGTACCAGTTGTTCCGGTATTGTCCGACAACCCCGCTTGATGAACCTTTTATCAGGCACAGGTTGACGTAGATTGGAGGACTTTTTGTTCAGTTTCATTCAGCCATGTCATTGTCCAGCAGACGGTGACCTTCAATGCACCTGTCCTGTACCTCTGATTCATAAAAACCAGTCCAACTCTAGGTCAAGGTTACTACAGGGTACAGGTCATGTGATCAAACTTCATTGCAAGATAACAGGCTTTATCACATGAAAAGTACTGAACATAAAAGTATGGATGTGCAACAGAAGCCTACATGTACTGTATGCCCAGAAGGTGAGTAAAACTCAATTTGACCTGTGACTCTGGGTACTGATTTCATGTAGCCTCAACAAGCTTTTACTGATCATGATTCCACTCTTATATAACAGACTTACCAGTACTTACAGGTATCAATCTCAGTTCCAACAAATGATGAATTGGTCCTAAAAACATACCGGTACATCTTATAAAAGATGTATACTACCATACCTGTGTACAATGATATCAGGGAGCAATGAAATTGCACTGCAGATGATGCAATGTTATAAAATCCAACACTCTTGTTCGAATTCAAAGAGACCTTGAAACTCACTTCCTCCAAATCAGGAAATCTGTAATTTTGAAATTAAGCAATACTTTCTAATTAGCTTCTACGCTACAACGAACCACACAGTGTACATGCACGTGCCAGTAATGTCCAAGGACCTACCCGTAGTATTGTGAACAAGTATTGGAAACAAACTTATATACAAAGACTCAGGGATCTAAAATTGATCTTCATGTCAGCGGGATGCTATAATTTAACAGTGCTCACTATAAACAGTGTTTGAATGTATTCAAATGCACACCATGTAGTCTTTGATCCAGTTCAAGGTCTGAGAGAATTTAAAAAGCACTGTTCATTGTTCAATACAAGACAGCTCAGCGGGGCCTTACAGTACTGTACCTATGGTACACACACTGTACCAATCGATCAAATATCTTGTTCAGGTACCGTTGTACCTGTATAACCTTGGCTATCCCCTACCCCTGACATACTGGTACGGTACCAGCAGCGTCTACAAGGAGAGGACTAAAAGTGATTTACTAAAAGTGATCTAAAAACTAGCTAAAACAATAACTTCTGTTTTCAAGGTTTTCGTTCCTTTGTTCATGATGTCACAGCTGCTTAAATTACATTTTAATACTTTTGCCTAGAGCTGGATTTTGCTACAGTTTTGTATTTCTACCTAAAAACAAACACGTAATTCTTAAAACAAATTTGTCTATTTTTTAAAATGAGATTGCTAATGCTACGCGGTAAGTTGTCAGCATTCTTAGGATGTTTATGACCCTGCATGTACTGGTAAATGTACAAAGTACATGTACATGTACTGGCATGTTATACAGTTATCCCAATTTCCGTGTACATGAAACCAGAAAGCTGGCAATGCTTTGCGATGTTTTTCAACCAAGTCATTTTGCACAGTGTAATCTTTCTCACTCCTATTGTAAAAAAATTGAATGAGATCTATTACAGCTCAAGGCAGGATACAGGCAGTTTGGCCAATGATTTCCAAAGTTTGGACAAAATGACAGTGAATACCTGAGCAAAGGTCAGTAGTGACATAACCATGGAAGACTTACATGTACATGTACATCTGTCAAATCTATAACAAAAGAAATGCAGGATTTCACCTTGATGGAACAAAGAACTAAACTTTATATGGTATCTTCTTTCTTGATTTTACCTTGATTAAATGTGTTTTAATTGGCAACTGAAGACAAACAGTCAATGCCTGTTTGATGTCTCAAGGTCTTAAAATTGATGTCTATCAGGTACTTAACCACCACTGTGTATTCAAAGCAACAGGAAGAAGTGACACAGCCAGCAGACTGGTCATTTGCCACATTTGTCGGAGTATTAGGCTATTCAAAAAAGTTCACTGCAAATAAAATGAACTCAGAAAAAACTTTGGGTAGTTACATGTATATGTGTGAGCAAACTTTACACACAGTTCTGGGTAAAAAACTGAGACTGACCAGTGTACTACTGGTAGACAGTGTACTCTACTTGATTCGTGCACATTGCTTTTGACAAGTCACAAGCTATGTGTACGTACATGTACTGGTTCCATACAATAAAGTATTCATGATGTATAGGACTCATTAGGAAAAATAGAACATCATTAAAAACTACATGTACAGTACTGTACCATAAGCATTTATAACATGTATAAGGAGCATACATGTACCGGTAACTGTGTGACCTAAGATGCAGAATTACACAATTTATAATATCCGTAGTACACATACCGGTACATACATGTAACTTAACAGAGACTGTTATTCATCTTCACAACAAACAATAAACTGTGTTCAGGTTTTGTCCAAACAACCGCAGGTTTTTCCTCCAGTCAGAAAGCCACAGTGTGATCATTACAGATCTTAACTAATCAATATATGACAACAATGGGACTACTTGATACAAAGCACAATAGACCAAGGACATCTGGTAACACCAGATAGTTGGTATTTAAGTGTGTAGAAGAAAAAAGTACCAGACTAGCACTGTAGAAAGCAAGGGTGATGTTATTCC